TGAAATTCCACTTAGCGGAAGTATTCACAATTTATACCCCAGAAATTGGCAAATGCTACATATCAAGGCTCTTTGTGGCTTTTTTTTGCATATGTTGCTGGAGTATAAACATTCCAAGTCGTCCTAAAAATTAATAAACATTTCCCCTGAAACGTCAGTTTAGGCAATTATCATTTGTTTGTTTCCTTTATATTATTACCTGGAGTTAATCTAAAATGGTAAGGAAAGATTACAAAATTATAATCTCAAACAATAGTACATGGTAGGTAAATAGATGGTAAAAGAAAAAAAAAAGTCTTAGGCATGATAAGTAGATTGCCGAAAAAAATATAATTAGTAAATGGTAAAATGAGTATTTGTGTATTTATCTTCTGTAAAGCTCTTGCTGTTTTTGACATAAGTCAAGACATGATTGAGACACGCCCATTAGGACTTTGATGTTTGTGGGTAGATTGCCAACCTATTTATACCTTGGAAAAATATTTATCAGAATAAGTTACTCAACAATAAAAATAAAATCAGAGCTAACACTTAAAGAGTAATTACTATGAGCCAGGCATTATTTTAAACATGTCGTAAGTATTAATTCATTTAATCCTCATGAAAACCCAAGAATGGTGAATAACGCAGTTTACAAATGAGGTTAAGAAAAACTTGACCAAGACCCAACAAACAGTACATGGTTGGTTTGGGATTGGAACCCAGGTCATCTCGCATTACTGCCTTTACAAACAGATCCTTGGGTGGAGGGGCCACAGGGCCTGTCTCCACCTTGTGATAATCAGGTTGGTCACACATTTCAGGTAAAGGAGGTTTCAGAGATGGCTTTTTTTCATAAACCTTGGGTAGTTGTGACTTGTAAAATGTACATTTTCTTATAGATATGTTATTGTCTGTTAGACTTCTTCATCTTTTTTTCCTTTTTCAAAAACCAAGAGCTCTCCCAACATATAGCTTGAATATTCCCTTGTCCAGTTTAATGACATACAAAAAAGTCTTCTTAAGAATTTTCTGATTCTGAAATTAAAAACTTGCCCATTATTTACATAATTGCTATTAATAATTTTCAAATCTAAATTTTAATTGTATAGAGTAAATCCACTCCACTTTTTTTTCAGCCGCGCCTTCATCCACTAAAACATTTGTCTTGAGAAATATAGAGACACTTCAGTATCAGGCCATATGTAGCCAGAAATGTATTCTGATAAAAGAAAGGCAATATACCTGAATTATCCTGCAAGAAAACATTCCATTAACTGTAGATAGCTGACCTTCATTGCATACAGAGTGATTTATAATGTAGGCTGTTTTTGCAAAAGAAATTCTAGGAGAGGCAACAGTTGTCTAGATCTTGGCAGTGATTTTGAGTCACTTTATAATTGAGCATTAGATTTATGAAGTCAATAACGTCAACAGTGTATTCTGATTTTATCTTAATTGGATGCAATTAGACCTAGGTGTGCTTTTCATAAAATTAAAGATCTGAAGCACAGCAATATCAAAGACGCCAATGTTCTTTTGCTTTGCTAGATGAAACAAATTGAGCTTTTATATGCTATTGGGATTTCTACATATTTATGGAGATAAATGCTAGGAAGTAGTTCATATTCTCCTTGATTTTCCCCTCAGGATTTATCTCTCTCTCTCTGTCTCTCTCTCTATATATAAATAGATGTATATATTTCCTGAGAATTCAGTTTTCATTCAGTCATTCATTTAACCAATATAATTTGAGGCCCACGAAGTGCCAGGCACCAGTCTATTCTCTAGTGATACTCTGGTGAACACTCATGGACTCTCTTGACATTTGGGGAAGACTGAAAATAAAAATGTAGATTAATATAGTTAATATCATATAGAGTATATTCTATATGGTTTCTTTATATGTACTATATACACACTGTATCTGTGCACATTAAATATATAATATGTGTGTTTATATATATATATGTATAATGTGATATATATACTATATATTCTATCTATAGTTCTGGCTTTGGAACTCGATGGTGAAGGAGTGTCAGAATAAAGAGGAAATTCTACTGCAAAATGCTGGAGGGCAAACAGTCAATTTTCAGTTAAAGTTAGGAGATAAAATTAATGTGTTTGTGAAGAGGTAAATAGAATTGAGATATTTGTTTATCCAGGAAGAAGTTTTCCATAAAGATAAAGGAACACATTCTAGAGTAAGATGAACAAAGAACTATTGGATGAAGGACAAGCTGACAGCATTTCGGAGTTAAGAGGAGGAAAAAAAAACAAAAACAAAAACAATAACCAGAGAGATAGAACTTATAGGTGACTTAATATCATTCTCACAATAATCCTATTAAATAGTCAAAAGAACTTTCCTAGGATAACAGAATCTGGGGTTTGACTAAGTCTGTGTAATTGTGGGACACAGTAGAGTATATTTTTTAAAGGGGTGACTTTAGATTCAGACTAAATTCTGGCTCTCCCATTTACTTGGAATAAAAATTTGATCAAGTTTCTTAATCTCTGTCTACCAGAATTTCATTATCTCTACCATAGGGCAATAATAGTCCTTACTGCAGGAAGCTATTGTGAGGATCAAATTGGTAGAGAAGAATGCCTGGGATCAATTAAATTTAGCTGATGATCTTTCCACTAACTGTAATCTTGGCCCTATCTATGTCTTTTAGTAGCATGAGAATTCATGTCAAAGGGGAAAAAAAAAAGTCATGCTCAACCACTAGAGAGGGCCTATTACATCTGACTCTACTTAGATTTTTCTCAGGTGTGTGTTCAGGGAGAGGGGCTGCTGATATGGTCTTGTCAGAGTCTAATGGGACAGTTACTAGTAGGCAGGTTTACTGTGGATTAAAAGATGAACACCTGTGGGATTTTCCAGTGCATTTCCCCCTTCTATGTGGTAGGAAGACCAAGGTAAGGCCTAGACCTTTAGTGTAGAATAACTGTCTTAATCTCTTCTCCCTTTCTACATCTCTTTTGCATACAGCTTGAAGCATGGCTATGGAGATCAGGTCATTTTGTCCACAACTCCCCCCTACTTCCATCCTTTTTTTTTTAACATCTTTATTGCAGAATAATTGCTTTACATTGTTGTGTTAGTTTCTGCTGTATAACAAAGTGAATCAGCTGTGTACGTATACATCTTAAGTTCTGTTTTGTTTACTTTTTTCCTATAGGCCCCAAGACTGTGTGTTGAAATCATATGATGTATTTGGTTGGCCAAAAAGTTCGCTCGGTATTAGGTAAAAATAAAAGACACATTTTTCATTTTCACGAAGAACTTTATTGAACAATGTATTCACCAACCAAATGAACTTTTTGGCCAACCCAATAGATTTGGGCTCAAGAGGAGGTGAATGCTCTGTAGCTAGCTTGGAGCTACATACTTCAACTCAGCATTGATACAGCAGCTGGTTGTGGAAATTTGACTCCTATCCTAGCATTCTTCCCTGTGTGTTGAGGATGCTCAGAAACTTTACAGAGGTGGTGAGATGCAGGCAAGGGCTTACCTCCCATCCACAGGCTCTCACTCGCAGCTTCTAAATGTGACATGTGTTTCGCTATGTGCATCACCAGGTGCTGACCCTGTTGAATTTCATGTTTTTCCTCTTTCAGACTGCATCAACTAAATCAGCAAATTACTGTTAAAGGGAGACGTTTTCCAAGAATATTTATGTGTGTGTTGAAATTTTAATTGAACAGACTTCCATTAAAATAATATACTAGTTTTAAATAAAGATATCATAGCTTATCATTATTTATAAAAAAGTGTCAAATATATTCTTATTTGTATTTATACAGTAACATAAAAATGATGAAATATATTAATTTCTAATTTTAGTGGAAAATTAAAATTAAATCTGTTAACATATAATCATTTATTTAATAAAATTATGCAAGTCTCATTGTTTTAATAATAAATTATTTACTAATAATAACTTTAATAAATAATAAATTACATAGCTCTAATTCTTTTATTTTAACATTATGATTTACTTACCATCCAATATGCGTCAGTTTTTAAAATATTTTTATTGAAGTATAGTTGATTTTCAGTTTTACAGCAAAGTGATTGTTACACACATACATATGTCTATTCTTTTTCAGATTCTTTTCCATTATAGGTTATCACAAGATACTGAATATAGTTCCCTGTGCTACAGCATCAGCTTTTTTTTTTTTTTATTTTTTAAATATGGAACTACAGAGGTTCTTTTAAAGTATTAGATTAGGGAAGATAGGTTTGTCTCTAAGTTTTTCTCAACTTTCTTTTGTCTCCTCAGAGTTTAAAATACAAAGAACCTTTTTATGCATCATTGTCAGACGTAGAACTATTATTATCATTAGCAATTATTTAAGACAATCTTCAGATCCCACTCTTTTCAATTTGTAATACATTCTCCACATACCCTCCAAATCACCACCCTTAAGAAAATCTGTAGCTCTGTCTGCCTCAGAAATGTGCTGCTCCTTCCTCAGAACCACTTATGCTAACCAAACTATTAGCACCTGCTGAACCGCCTCTCCATCAGTCATCAATCGTCAGCAATCAGGCAGCTACTTGATAATTAGCTGCGAGAGGGAAAAACACTTCAAAGAACTAAAAATATTTTCCACAGTGACTTTGTGCATAAAATAATTATTTTCCCTCTATTAATCCACTTACGTGTCTCTGTGCAGTAGGAAAGCTTATAAATGCAGTGCACACACGTCAATATAATTCAATGTAGGATATGCTTGTTTACCCACGGTTACCAGGAAAGCGATGTATGACAGATACAGACAATTCTAAGGCATTATATGTGTAATTTAATTTTTTTCATTTTATACATATTGCCTTCATCGCCTTTGTTATAAAAAGAGTTTAAAAAACAAATGAAAGGTCCATAGGCAGAAAATCGTTAAGAGCTATTTGGGGCCTAGTGCCAAGCACTGCACTACTCACTGAATATTCACAAATATCCTATGTGTAAGGTACTATTTTTATCTCCACTTTACAGAGGGAATCTGAGACAGAGAGAGATTAAATGACTTGCCCAACATCATACAGCTGATAAGTGGCATGGCTGACATTCCATCTCAAACAGTTTGGCTCCAGATTCCATATCCTGGACCACAGGGGACAGGTAAGATCCAAAGATACATTCAGTGATAGACCCACACAGGCAAATCAACCGGAAACACCATGTGCTTATTGTTTTAGTGAGTTATCCACCTAATTATAAGCCTTATACATATTTTCACTAAGCAACATATATGGAGATGACTTCTAACAATAAAATACTAATAACATATAAATAGAACCATACAGTATGTACTTATCTTTGGCTTCTTTCACTCAGCATAATTATTTCAAGATTCATCCATGTTGTTGGATATATTAATAGTTCATTTCTTTGTATGCTAGGTAGTACTTCATTGTATGGATAGACTAATAATTTATTTATCCACTTATCTGTTGACGGACATTTGAATTGTTTCCAATTTTGGATTATGACAAATGAAGCTGCTATGAATATTCAAAAAAATACTAATAACAATAAGGATAATACTAAACTTAATAGTAGATAATAATTATTGTGTTACTCTGCACAAAGCTATACAGCTTTTTACATGTTTAATCTCCCATGATAGGTTATAGACCCAATTCAGAGTCCATGGCTATATTCTTAACTACTGCTCATTACTTACAGGAGTGGACAAACTCATTGCTTTTAAGTCATCAGTTTTCAAAACTTGCCAAAAGCTAGGTAAAACATCTCCAGCATGACTAGTGAAAATGTTGTTTCACAATCTTTCTTTTTTTTTTTTTGCTGGGGTCTGTTTTTCTAATGTTTCTAATTTGAGAATTTGCCCCCCTCCAAAAAGCATCTTTACAGAGTACCAAAATGTAGAGAAATTTTTGCTATAAAATTCTTTATACTTGATTTTTGTCCATACTTCACTAGCAATTTTAATTGCTATCTATATTTATGCACATACAGATATATCAACTCTGCATTTGACAACTGTAGAATGCATTGCATCGATGGGATGAGAATATAGAAGTCTGTGTGAGTTGTGAATTAGAAAAAGATATAATGAAAATATATACACTTCACTTCATTAGTTTCCATGACATTAGAAAAGTCCAGCATGTGTTTTAAATAACTACTCTAAGGTTTTAATAAACTTAACTTGCCCAGCAGCTGTGCAGGCATGTCCAATGTGGCTGTTTCTACAACACAATATCTTTTACATAGAGATGCAAATGAAAGGGAGCAGAAGCTTGGAAAATATATAGGTGTATTTCACATGCATATTTCATGAATTATTTTCTACTTTCCTGCAGTTATAGCTTAATTGAGTAATCATTCTATTCTTGGTAAGTAAACACACTTTTTCTCATATTCTTTTGTGACCAGTAATTATTCTTTTATTTATAAGTAAACATGAATATGCTGAGACAAATAAAATATTGGGATCAGAGAAAGAAATGATGAGGAATAAATCATGCCATATCATACTGATACTTTTCATTTTTTGAATCACCACTTACTTTTAGAAGAGACTTCAAAAATAAGAGGTCTTTAAATATTTAGGCTTGTAAGTCTTTCTGAGTAGAAACCATTTCCAAAAGTAGAACTTTAAAAGGAAAAAGATTGATTATTTCTTGTTTTGTTTTCTGAGATAGGAATCAATTTTTTTTATCCTTAAATATATGTCTGTAATTATACTGATCCAGATGCCAATTCTCTTTTCTGATGGATTTACATGCAGGGAAGATGCAAAATAAAATCTTAAAACAGAGCTTAAGGAAAAAAGGTGAAAAGAAAGAGAAAAGTAGAAAAGAAAGGCAGGAAGGGAAGAGATACTCTGAAGTCTTACAAGGAAAACACACCACATTCGTATGTAGGTATCTATCCACAAAGTATGCATATTTTGTAGCAACAAAAGCAAGGGGAAAAAAAAAGCGCCTTGTATGTTTTAAAAATTGTAACAGGGTGCATAAAACTTAATTCCATAACTACCAAAACCCTACCAAATTTGTTATAAAGCTAGCTCAAATAGAGTTCCAAGAAGGTTAAGAAGGGATTAGAAAAAAGAAAAATGAGAAAGTAACAGAAAACCAGAGGAAGTACAACCAACAGAAAGTGAGAGCAAAAGGACCACTAAGATTGGGGTAGAAATAAAGAGATATAGATATTATGAGATAGATAACCTTGTGGAAACAGGGAGGAGTAAAATGTTAACATTGAAAGCAGGTATGCATCTCTTACTAAATGTCTGATGTTTCATGATATATTCATCTGACCATCATTTTTCACATGTAATAATAATAATAGGCTTGATATCAACTATTTTAATGGGTTATTGTGAGACCTAAGTGGTATGCTGATGTGAAAGTGCCCAGGAGAGAGAATATTTTAAAGATATATTATAAAATTATTTTATGTTATTGATTAATACAAATGGAAAAAATAATAACTAAAGCCATATTTAGAGATCAGAAAGAAGAAAAACAAAAGATGAAGGCATAAAAGAAAAAATCAGAGTTAGAGATATATGTATAAAGAAAAGGAAACACAAAGTTAATTTTAACTCAAGGGATACATTTTTCCAATCACAGAAAATCATCATCATTTCACTTTATGGATGTTATCTCAGAAAGTACAAATTATCCTGACTGAATTTTGGGAATACATATCTTAATGTTTGTTAAAGTACTGAAAGGCCAAGATCAAAGTCATTTTCACTTTATTCCCTCTAGTGAAAGGAAATAGAGTCCCTCAGCTAAAGGAAAAAGCCAGCTTTGTAGGAACTTGCCAGGAAAAGTTTCTGTTCTTACACCTGTGACCAGGAGTAGTCGAACATTCAGAAACTTTTTCTTTTTCTTCTTGTCAGTGAAGAAACACTAGTATTCTCTGCTCTGAGAATTAAAATGTGTAGTGGTTTATGTGTTCCCCAAAAACGAAAATGTTTTCAGGGAGAAGGCTTCAAGCCATTTCCATCAAAGACCTTTAAAGTCATTTTTCATTTGCACAGTTATAAATTGAGATCCCATTTTTATTTTTTTGTCTTACGAATTTGACTAAACTCAGCAGGGAGTTGAATTGACTTCAGCATTCACAAGCTCTCCTCCCTTTATTTTAAAAGTTTGAAATTTTAGTCTGTTTGTTAACATCTTTATTGGAGCATAATTGCTTTACAGTGGTGTGTTAGTTTCTGCTTTATAACAAAGTGAATCAGTTAGTCTTTTTTTTCAAACGTTTTATTTTTTTTAAATTATCATTAGTTCAAAAGTAATCTCCAAATTTCAGGTGAGAAGCTACTACATAAATGAAAAAATTAAAAATTCTTAAACAGTGTCATGTTCTGAAAAGATAATGAGTAAACTTGCTTTGATGATATCAATTTAAATATTAAATAAATGTGGAAGCTTAGGCATCTTGGCCCACAAAACATTGCATTTAAATAGATGAGTGAACATATAGAACCTAATTAAGAATTGATGGGACTTCGCTGGTGGTCCAGTGGCTAAGGCTCCACACTCGCAATGCAGGGGGCCAAAGTTCGATCCCTGGTCAGGGAACTAGATCCCACATGCTGCAACTAAAAAGATCCCACATGCCGTAACTAAGGATCTGGCATGCGGCACCAAAGATCCTGCATGCTTCAACTAAGACCCCCGTGCAGCCAAATAAATAAATAAACATTTTAAGAAAAGAATTGATTTCATTAAAAAAAGGTAATACTTTACTTTTTATAAAGTATTTTGTTTAGTTATTAAGTTATAATCTAGAGTTTTGCTTCTATCGGAACATTTTTTCATATAGTATAAAAGTGCTTGTTGAAAGGGAAAAGTAAGTATCTACCAGAATCATTCTCACAAATAATGCATATGTATTAATTGTCCAAACTGGGGTTTTATCTTGTTCCTTTGGAACATGTTCCTCTGCCACCTCATTTTGTCTCTGTTGCTATTTGTATTTTCATGTATGTGGTAGGTTAGTTACTTTTGTCGACCTTGGAGAAGGGGCCTTCCGTAGGAGACATCCTGTGCATCCCAGCAGTGCGCTCCCCTCTCATCACCCAAGCTGTGTGCTCTAGGGTTTCCCCCAAGAGGGCTGCATGGGTCCTGCTGTTGTGGCAGGCCGACTGTGTGGGTGGTCTGGTAGGCTTGGTTGGCCCCTAGTCTGGTTGGCTGCCAGGCCCTGCCTTGTGCAGATGTTGCTGGCTGCTGGTTAGTGAGGCCTGGTCTCTTGGAGGCTGGCTGCAGAACCCCAGGGGGGACCCAGGACTACTGCTGACTCAGTGGTGGGCGGAGTCAGGTTCCAGAAGACTCTGGGGCTTTTGCCGGCCCACTGGTGGGTGGAGCTGGGTCTTGGCCCTCTGATGGGCAGGGCCATATCTAGGGGCATGTCTACAGGTGGCTGTAGGCTCAGGGAGTCTTTAGGCAGTTGGTCTGCTGATGGGTGGGGCTTTGTTCCCACCCAGATAGTTGTTCGGTTTGAGGCCTCCCAGCACAGTCTGTTGGGTAGGGACAGGTCTTGGTGCTAATAAGCGAGAGGGAGGGTCCCATGCAGAAGGAGCTCCCAAATATGGGTGTCACCAGTGACTTTGTCCCCCTGGGTGAGCCACAGCCATTCTTGCCTCTCCTGGAGATTCTCCAAGACTAGCAGGAAGGTCTGGCTCAGGCTTCTATGAAATTACTTCTTTTGCCCTGGGCCCCAGTGCACGTGAGATTTCTGTGTGCACCCTTTAAGAGTTAAGTCTCTATCTCCCCCAGTCCTGTGGGGTGCCTGAAATTAATCCCTGCTGGCCTTCAAAGCCAGATGCTCTGTGGGCTCCTGTTCCTGGTGCAGGACCCCGGGGCTCGAGAGCCAGTGTTCTGGGGACTCAGAACTCTCATTCCTGTGAGAGAACCTCTGCAATATAATTATTCTCCAGTTTGTGGGTTGCCTACCCGGGGGTGTGGGACTTGATTATATCATGAGTTCACCCCTCCTACCTGTCTCGTTGTGGTTTCTTTCTTTTTTTTTTTTTTGGCGGTACACGGGCCTCTCACTGTTGTGGCCTCTCCCGTTGTGGAGCACAGGCTCCGGATGCGCAGGCTCAGCGGCCGTGGCTCACAGGCCCCACCGGT